TCCTCCTGCTAAGGAGGTCCTTCTAACCTTCCCCTTTGCTAGAATCCCACCTACCTTACCCACAGTCTATCATTTCTATTTTAATTACACAAATTAACACATAGATACATTCCTGTTGTAAAAGACTTGAATATATAAGCAAATACAGTTCTTATTGATGGAGTTTTACATTGTGACCATTTATCCACTCTTTAAACAATGCAATGAATGTAACAGTATATACATCTTGTAAAAATATATTTAAGAGGGCTCCTAAAAAAGGAATTTCTATTGCAATATTTTAATTTTTTCTAAGTTTTTATTTTAAGTAATCTCTACACCTAAAGTGGGGCCTGAATTTGTGACCCTGAGATTAAGAGTTACATACTCTTCTGAATGAGCCAGCCAGGTACCCCGCTGTTGAAATATTTATTTATTTTAATTTTTTTTTTAACGTTTATTTATTTTTGAGACAGGGAGAGACAGCATGAATGGGGGAGGGTCAGAGAGAGAGGGAGACACAGAATCCGAAACAGGCTCCAGGCTCCGAGCTGTCAGCACAGAGCCCGACGCGGGGCTCAAACTCACGGACCGCGAGATCATGACCTGAGCCGAAGTCGGACGCTTAACCGACTGAGCCACCCAGGCGCCCCTGAAATATTTAAAGTATTTATATAGATCCCATCAAATTGTCCTCCAAAAGCTTTACTAATTTATTATCCCTTTAAGTGTGATTGTGCCTGTTCTTCATTCTCACCAGTACTGGTCATTATAAATACTTTTAATTTTTGTCAATAGAAATAGCTAATAACCACTTTAACTTTTTTTTTTCCTTCTTTTTCAACGTTTTTATTTATTTTTGGGACAGAGAGAGACAGAGCATGAACGGGGGAGGGGCAGAGAGAGAGGGAGACACAGAATCGGAAACAGGCTCCAGGCTCTGAGCCATCAGCCCAGAGCCTGACGCGGGGCTTGAACTCACGGACCGCGAGATCGTGACCTGGCTGAAGTCGGACGCTTAACCGACTGCGCCACCCAGGCGCCCCACCACTTTAACTTTTTTTATGTTTCAATTGGGTTTGCTTTTTCTCACTGATTTCTAGGTACTTTTTACTTGTGCAGATGGTATTCTGTTACATATGTTACAAATAGGTAATGTCTCCTTTATCATTAAAGGTTCAACTCAACTAACTCCCTTGAGATTCTTGCTGACAGCTGCAGTCCACACTGCTCCCTCTGATGACTCAGCATTGAGCAGACATGCACCCCAAAGAGATTCATCTCTCTCTATATGCCATTCATCCCATTCTAATTGGATTTTATTGTTCTTTAAACTTGTATTCCTCCTGTCTTCTACCCTCTTCTCTTTCCTCCCCAGTCACCAACAAAGACTCAAAGTAGTTTTAGGGCCTACAATACTTCAGATTTGTGCTTCCAATAGATGCTCAAGAAATGTAACTGATGATGAGAGCATATGCCCCTTTGCATTCCAGCTTCTGTGGCAAGAGTCACTCTTCTAACTCCCTTCCCACTCCCAAATGCCTCATAGGGCTAGGCAGAAAGTAATAGAATGGGTAATGTAGTTTCATGGAAGGAAATGAAAATCAATGGCAACTGTTAACAATTGGAGAACATAACCACCTAAAAGAAGCATCCATATTCAGCTCCAGCAAATTACTGTCAAGTAGGAATATAAGCTCCATGTTGATAGCTTCTCCAGTTTTTAAAATCTGAAAATCTGTATTTTATGTTAAATGTGCCTTTTAAATGTCAGCCAACATTGTGTGTTTCCTGGGCTGGAAGCACGCTGAGGTCAGACTGTATCTGTATGCACATAAGAGGCACTCGATGTTTATTTTCTCATTTGTTTTCTTCCTTCCTTAGACTGAATGAAACATCCAGAACAACTAATGAAAGATAAAGGCACTTATATAATGGCCAGTAATTAGTTGTTCTAATGCTGTTTTATTTATTTCTATCTCTCAAACCAGACTAAGAAACATGAAAGAAGAGATCCTATTATTTATCACATCAGATCATATTATTCATTCACACGGTACCTGGCACATGGGAAGGTCTCAGAAAAACTTGCTGTGTTGAACCAATTACTCAATAAATGAAGACCTGATTAGGTAATCAGTTTACATTTAGATTGTGAATTTACTTTTAAAATTAAACATCCATGTAATCGGCTCAGTACCTGGCACACTGACCCAAGATGTAAGGTAAGAGAGCATCCCTTAACCCAACTCTTTGTTTTACTTGGCAAATATCAGTTGACATTTAATACTGGTGTAACATGGTAGGTGAGGATGTGTGGGATTGCACAATGAAAATATGACAGCTCTTTACAGCAGTCATGTCCAAACCCATGGCTGTCTGGCTCTCAAAGTCAGTCTTGGCCAGACAATCCCCATGTTCTACACCTCTCGGCCCAAACTTCCACTGTTCAGGACTTCTTCCTCCTATGATCTCTCTGGGCTGGTTTCTTCAGGGACATCCTCTGGGGATAGGTGGTTTGGGGTCTCAGTGGTGAGCACTGCCTTGCTCTTTCCTCCTCTGCAGCTCCTCCCGCCGCCTTGCCTGATGTTCACTCATGCAGTCCCTGAAGGCCTGTACCTGTGGCTGACACTGTCGCCAGTCCTGGTGTTGGGCCATGCACTCCTGTACTGCATAGTGGGAAGCAGCACAACCAGAGCGGGAAATCAGCTGGTCCAGCGGATCCTCTTCCTCATCCTCCTTCTTCACCTGTCGGGCCCAAGTATGGCCTTGAGTTGACATCTTTGAGAATCTCTGGAATAATGGAGGCAAAGTTAGAGTAGGAATGTGATTATGAGGTTCCATTACTATCAATAACATTGACCAAACTGCACTGTTATAGCCTAGCCTATCTGTATATCTGTCTCCCCTTGCAGAGTGTAAGCTTATTTGAGAACAGATATTGGGCCTGATTCATTGGTGCCATCAGTACTAGGCCTGGCAAGAGAGCAGATCTGTAAAACGGTTTGAACTCAATAGAATGACATAAAGTATATGAGAATGTTTGGCACAGCACTAAATAAGCTTGAATGGATTTTGCTAACGGAATTTGAATTAGGTGAAATGTCACCTTTTTGCAGCAGATGTCTCCCCAAAAGAATGAATCTCTCCCTTCCTCCTATTAGCCTTTTCCTATGGCTGGAAAAGAACATAGTTTAACACTTGGGAGATTACCCAAATATGGGTAGCGTTTGACATACAGGAGGAATGGAGAGTTCAGTTTAGCTGTAGCATAGAGTGTGCATGGGCGCATAAGTCTGTGAGATGAGAGTACTTAATGTGAGGTTGATTTGCCCAGACTGTCTTCCCAAGATCATCTGCCTCAGAGCACCCAGCAGAAAGCAGCCTACAGAAGGAACTTGAGAAAGCTTTGAAGGGAAATAACCTCAGCCTTTGAACAAATTTCACCATGACAGGCTTTAAAGGAACTAGTACTCTTCAATGCCTTTCCTGTTTCTCTGATTCATTCAACAAATGATTATTGAGTACCTATCATGTACCAGGTACAACGCAAGAATTGAGAATACAGGAGTGACCAAGACGGATGCATTTCCTGCCTTATTGGAATTTACCCTTCAGTGCCTTTCCTGTGTCTCTGATTCATTCAACAAATGATCAATGAGAACCTATCATGTACCAGGCACTATGCTAGAGTTGACGATACAGGAGTGACCAAGACGGATATAGTTCCTGCCTTAATGGAGTTTACAATCTAGACAATAAACAGGTTACCACACAGTGTGTACAGATAGCTAAGATTGGGAACACACTAGAGGATCACCTAATCCAGACATGGCAGGAACAGGCTGAGTAGGCTTCCTGGAAGAAGTGATTTCTAAACTGAGACTTGAAGGATGAATAGGAGTTAGCCAAGCATGGGGAGAAACAATACGGGTAGTCAATGGAAGAGCAGGGTCAGGGGTTGAGACAGAATTTGACGCAGGAGAGGAACTCAAAGTTCTGTATGACTAGGGAATAACAAATGAAATCGGCACTATGAGAAAATATCTGATCATAGCAAGGTCTTGTTGGCCACGTTAAGCCAACATAGCCTACCCAAAACTCATTTGCTTTGGAGGCAGTATAACTTAAGGAAGGAGGTGGGTAATAGGTTTTGAAAAGAGACTAAGATTGGAAACCTAGCTTTGTTACTGACTCACTGGGTGACCTTAAGAAAATCACTTCATAATCTCTTGAAAAAGAGTTCACATCTACCTCACAAGACTGTTGAAGACTAAATGACATAGTGCACGTAAGCCTGGCATGTCCAAAGACTTCAATTAATAAGTTTTTATTACTGTACAGAAAAAGTGCCCTGGATTCTAAGCCAAGAGAACTAGGTTCGAATCCTGACACCACATTTTACCATACAATCTTCTTAGCTTCCTCCTTAATAATACTGAACTCATACAACTAATATAAGGATTAATATGATAATGGACGAGAAATGCATGCGCGACAACAGGGCTCACAGTAAATGCGACGGTACTCTTTCCCCATCACATCCTGGCTTCAGTCTTCCCTGAAGGAAAAAGAGGAAGACCCATGGTTGGAGATCAGGGCAAGCAAATGGTCGGCAGCGGGATGGCTGAGACTGGCCTGGACTAGGAAGACATAGGAAAGCAGAGAAATTCATGTGTCCAAGGCACCTGCAGCTTCCACTTTAAAGTCTCCCACTTTAAGAAGACTCAAGCGCGCGCGCGGCAGCCAACCGCAGCCCCGCTGTGCCGGCTAAGCCTTACTGCGCAAGGACGCGGTACAGAGTGCTCACCGAGCAACAGGTGGAACACGAGAATTTGGACGCGCGTTCCTGCACGTCGCGGTCCGTCTGGTAGGCAGTTGTAACTCTCCCGACACTCCGACCGGAAACCAGCCTGTAAGGGAGCTTGAGAGCGGAAGTGGGGAACAGGGACCCGCCGCGCATAATCATTGGCGGCCTCTCAGTAGAGATTCCGCCCTCCAAACTCGTCGCAGCCCCTTCTGGCACCCACTTCCGGCGAAGAGCGGAAGAGGCGGGCAGGTGGAGGCGGGGCTAAGATGGCGGCGCCTTTGAGGATTCAGAGCGACTGGGCCCAAGCCCTCAGGTGAACAAAGGCCCAGACCCGGGACGGAGGAGGCGGGTAACGCGTGTTGTCTTTGCGTTAAGGAGCGCTGTACCCAGTCCAGGATAGGGATTACCTCATCGATTTTTAAGGGATCCCTGGGTGTAGAAAAAGAAGTGACACATGGTCATAGGTTTTCATTCTCAGAAGAGCTGTCCTGAGGCCAAGGCAACACGTACGTGCTGTGTGATCCCAGCACCAGGATTAGGATCAATGAGTGGACAAAGACAGGCAAACTGGGAGGCAGGGAAACTCTTGGCCAAGTAGTCCTAGTCATTTAGCAAATATTTACTGTAGTTGCAAAAGTCCTAGTACTCAACCACCTACCTCCACATTGTCTTTGAGTGTATGATGGAATCCTTGTATTCTCGGACCCCCAGTGCTATGTTAGACATATTGGGCAGTTCTATTCAGGAAACAGTGTAACAACCACTATGTCCAGACCCTGTGAGTGTGGAGTTTTAAACAGTGGTTTCTGCCTTCAAGAAGCTGACAGCTTAATTGGGAATGCACAGCAAACCATTCATTCAATATCTATTTATTCATGGTATACTGTGCAAGTTATTACTGCGTGCACCAGGATGAGTACAGCAGTGCCATGAATGGCAACTGTTACTACTAAGGGTTTTTCAAATCGGAACAGTGGTGAAGATGAATAAAACATAGCTTTTTGCATTTAAGAAACTTACACTTTACTATGTGGACTAAATTACTTACTACAACACAGAATGTGTGACAAGTAATAAAGGAAGAACACTAACCTTTACTGAGGGCCAACCAGGAGAGAATGCAGGAGAGGAATAAAGAAGTTAACTTGCTTAGGATTTTGCAGCCAGTGAGTTACAGAGAGTTACTTAGTATCAACCTAGATTTTTCTGTCTCAAAAGTGTAAGTCTTTTTCATTATATCCTAAAAGTGTTAAGAGTGATGAGGTAAGGATTTGGATGATTGGAGAGGAGCATTCTAAAACATGTAAAAAGTCAGTGACCTGTTGGAATGCAGACATTGTGTACTAGTCCCTTGTTTCAATTCGTTTTCCAGATAGCTAGGTGACCTTGAGCAAGTCACTTTTTCCTGAGCTTTAGGGTTTTTTTTTAAAGTCAGTTTTCTTAATAAATGTTTATTTATTTTTATTTTTTAATATGAAATTTAATGTCAAACTGGTTTCCATACAACACCCAGTGCTCATCCTAACAGGTGCCCTCCTCAATGCCAATCACCCACTTTCCCCTCCCTCCCACCCCCCATCAACCCTCAGTTTATTCTCAGTTTTTAAGAGTCTGTTATGGTTTGGCTCCCCCCTCTCTTTTTTTTTTTCCTTCTCCTCCCCCCAAAATGTTTTATTTCTTTTGAGAGAGAGAGAGAGGGAGAGAGAGAGAGAGCGTGCACACACAAGTGGGAGAGGGGCAGAGAGAGAGAATTCCAAGCAGGTTCTGTGCTGTCAGCACAGAGCCCATTGCCGGGCTTGAACCCATGAACCGTGAGATTATGACCTCAGCTGAAATCAGTAATCAGATGCTCAACCAACTGAGCCACCCAGTTGCCCCTATAAAAAAATTTTAAGTTTATTTTGAGACAGAGAGACAGAGCAGGGGAGGGGCAGAGAGGGAGAGAGAGAATCCCAAGCAGGCTCTGCTCTGTTAGTGTGGAGCAGGACGTGGAGCTCAATTCTAGGAACTGGGAAATCATGACCCAAGCCGAAAGCAAGAGTCAGATGTTTATTATTATTATTTTTTTTTAATTTTTTTTTTAACGTTTATTTATTTTTGAGACAGAGAGAGACAGAGCATGAACAGGGGAGGGGCAGAGAGAGGGAGACACAGAATCTGAAACAGGCTCCAGGCTCTGAGCTGTCAGCACAGAGCCCGACGCGGGGCTCGAACTCACGGACTGTGAGATCATGACCCGAGACGAAGTCGGACGCTTAACCGACCAAGCCACCCAGGCGCCCCTATTATTATTTTTTTAATGTTTATTTATTTTTGAGAGACTCAGAGAGATAAAGTGTGAGTGGGGGAGGGGCAGAGACAGAGGGAGACACAGAATCCAAAGCGGGCTCCAGGCTCTGAGCTGTCAGCACAGACTCTGACGTGGGGCCTGAACCCACAACTGCGAGATTGTGACCTGAGCTGAAGTTGGATGCTCAACCGACTGAGCCATCCAGGCGCCCCAAGAGTCAGATGTTTAAATGACTGAGCTGTCCAGGTGCCCCTGAGCTTCAGGTTTTTTGTTTGTTTGTTTTTAATGTTTGTTTGTTTTTAATCTTTAACACGGGAATAATAAAAGGTATTTTGTTAAATTGTGAGGATTAATTACACTGTTTGCAAAGTGTCTGGCACAGGACTTGGTTTCCAGTAATCCCAATAAATATCTACATATAAAGTGTTTTTTTAATTTTATTTTTTATTTTTTAAAATTTACATCCAAATTAGTTAGCATATAGTAAAACAATGATTTCAGGAGTAGATTCCTTAATGCCCCTTACCGATTTAGCCCATCCCCCCTCCCACAACCCCTCCAGCAACTGTCAGTTTGTTCTCCATATTTATGAGTCTCTTGTTTTCTCCCCCTCCCTGTTTTTATTTTTGTTTCCCTTCCCTTATGTTCATCTGTTTTGTCTCTTCAAGTCCTCATATGAGTGAAGTCATATGATATTTGTCTTTCTCTGACTGACTAATTTCACTTAACGTAATACCCTCCATTTCCATCCACATAGTTGCCAATGACAAGATTTCATTCTTTTTGATTGCCGAGTAATACTCCATTGTATATATATACCACATTTTCTTTATCCATTCATCCATCGATGGACATTTGGGCTCTTTCCATACTTTGGCTATTGTTGATAGTGCTGCTATAAACATTGGGGTGCATGTGTCCCTTCCAAACAGCACACCTGTATCCCATGGATAAATGCCTAGTAGTGCAATTGCTGGGTCATAGGTTAGTTCTATTTTTAGTTTTTTGAGGAACCTCCATACTGTTTTCCAGAGTGGCTGTACCAGCTTGCATTGCCACCAACAATGCAAAAGAGATCCTCTTTCTCCACATCCTTGCCAACATCTGTTGTTGCCTGAGTTGTTAATGTTAGCCATTCTGACAGGGGTGAGGTGGTATCTCGTTGTGGTTTTGATTTGTATTTCCCTGATGCTGAGTGATGTGGAGCATTTTTTCATGTGTCGGTTGGCCATCTGGATGTCTTCCTTGGAGAAGTGTCTATTCATGTCTTTTGCCCATTTCTTCACTGGATTATTTGGGTTTGGGATGTTAAATTTGATAAGTTCCCTATAGATTTTGGATACTAACCTTTTATCTGATATGTCATTTGCAAATATCTTCTCCCATTCTGTTGGTTGCCTTTTAGTTTTGCTGATTGTTTCCTTCGCTGTGCAGAAGCTTTTTATTTTGATGAGGTCCCAGTAGTTCAGTTTTGAAAGTATTCTTTTCAAAGCTGTGCAGCTGTATGGATAGTGAACTCCCTATTGATGAAATATTTGAGTATTCATTTAACCCGTAGATATCTATGCATTAAGTGCTTAATCCATGAATATTTCTTCAGTAAATAAAGTTTGTCTTAGAATAATCTATGCCTGGATGAGATGTTATACTGGATCATACCTCAGTACTATGTCCAAACTGAAAATTATATGATCTTCTTTCCCCCTTGCACCAGTGGCATCCTTTTCAGCATTGAATGAGCCTAATTAATCTTTTGTTTCTCTTCATAGGAAGGATGAAGGGGAAGCCTGGCTGAGTTGTCACCCCCCAGGTAATGTCCATATGCCCAAAACTATATGCCTTCCCTTTAGAGAATGGGGATTTACTATCCCTAGAAGAGAGCTTCATACTTTCTCTTGACCCCGACTCCTTGCATAATGCTCATAGTCTTCAAATGTTCTTGACCATTCACACCAACTCCTCCATTTCAGGGGAAGGCCTTAAGATTAGTTTTCCATTTGGAGGCCACAGACTTACTCAGGGAGTGATTAAGTCCCTTAGCTATATATTATTGTATTCTAAGCAGTTCTGTAGTTTCATTTGTGATTTCCTGATGATGATTCCTAGATGTATGGCTCCAGCCCTGAACTCTCTTCAAGTTCAAGCAGAGATTGAACAATTATCTGCTAGACATTAATGCTTGAAGCTCTCACTGTTCTCTTGATTTTATCAAATCTAAAACCAAGCTGAGCACTTCTCTTGTCAAACAGGCTTTCTTGATTTTCAAATTTAAGTTACCACCATTCTAGGCATCAGAATGAAAAACCTAGTCACTTCACATGTCACATCCAGATAGCTCCCAAATCCTATCAGTTATTTCTTTGAATGACACTTCTGTGTTAGTCTTATCCATTTGTTTGTAGTTATTGTGGTACTATTAAAAAAAAATTAAACTTTTTAATAAATTTGTGAGTTTTGTTTTACTGATTATCCTTAACCTCAGATACCTTTGATTCTTTATATAACTATATTCTATTTCTCTGAGAAATAGAATTTTAAACAGTCTTTTGAGGAAAATGATGCTGTATAGAAGACAGTAGCTAGGTCTCATAGTCAAGGATTTTGTTTTTAAAGATGAGAACTAATTGTAGAGCAATTAAAATACAGGTTATATGTAGAGGAGAGAAGGGCTAACTGAAAAGCTAGTGTCTTAAAGGAGAGAGAGATTCAATTAACTCTAAAAGACTAAGATGAAAGAAGGTGAGAGTAAGTGCAGATGTAGATAAATGCATTGGTGTGGACATAGACATTTAAGAGTGTCTTCCTTCCTCCTTTCCTTACCCTTCCTTCCTTCCTTCCTTCCTTCCTTCCTTCCTTCCTTCTTTCCTTCTTTCCTTCTTTCCTTCCTTCCTCACTTCCTTCCTGTAAGCTCTATGCCTTAATGTGGGGCTTGGCTTAAACTCATGACCTTGAGATCAAGATTCCTATGTTCTACTGACTGAACCAATTCTATTTTATAAACAGAAAACCAAGACTGAGATCATTTCAGTGACTACAGATGTAGAAAGGTCATTTTGAGGGTGTTGACAGAAGATTGGTTAAAATGATATACCCTGTGGACCAGGCATCATGGGGCAGTGGGTGAAGCCAGGAGGGAATCGTGGAGGTGGACAAAAAGCACAGTTCCCTTGATCCTATTTTTGTGGCTTCTTTCTGAACTAGCACTTCACACCACTTTCCTTCCCAAAGCTTCTTTGCTAGATTTTCTCTATTCCAGACCTTTATCCCAGATTGTAAGTTCCTCCATTAATATCCTTCAGCTACCTTTTTATGACTGTTTTAACCAAACTGGTATTTTGTTGTTGTGTTTTGTCTTTTTGTTTTTTTAATTTATTTTTTTCCAAACTAGTTTTTTTTTTTTTTTTTATTTATTTTTGGGACATAAAGAGACAGAGCATGAACGGGGGAGGGGCAGAGAGAGAGGGAGACACAGAATCGGAAACAGGCTCCAGGCTCTGAGCCATCAGCCCAGAGCCTGACGCGGGGCTCGAACTCACGGACCGCGAGATCGTGACCTGGCTGAAGTCGGACACTTAACCGACTGCGACTGCGCCACCCAGGCGCCCCCCAAACTAGTATTTTTAAAAATTTTTTTTAATGTCTATTTATTTTTGAGAGAGAGAGAGAGAGAGAGAGAGAGACAGAGTGTGTGCAGGGGAGGGGCAGAGAGAGAGGAAGGCACAGAATCCGAAACAGGTTCCAGGCTCTGAGCTGTCAGCACAGAGCCCGATGCAAGGCTCGAACCCACAAACTAGGAGATCATGACCTGAGCTGAAGTCAGAGGCTTAACCGACTGAGCCACCCAGGTGCCCCAAACTGGTATTTTTTTTTTCATTTTTTTTTTTTAACGTTTATTTATTTTTGAGACAGAGAGAGACAGAGCGTGAATGGGGGAGGGTCAGCGAGAGGGAGACACAGAATCTGAAACAGGCTCCAGGCTCTGAGCTGTCAGCACAGAGCCCGACGCGGGGCTTGAACTCACTGACCGTGAGATCATGACCTGAGCCGAAGTCAGCCGCTTAACTGACTGAGCCACCCAGGCGCCCCCAAACTGGTATTTTTTTTAATGTTAATGGCAAAGAAACTTATTTAAAACATTTTTTGTTTTTAATATTTATTTATTTTTGAGAGAGTGCGAGAGAAATGGAGCATGAGTGGGGGAGAGGCAGAAAGAGAGGGAGACACAGAATCCAAAGTAGGCTCCAGGCTCTGAGCTGTCAGCACGGAACCCCCGTGGGGCTCAAACTCATGACCCACGAGACCATGACCCGAGCCGAATTCGAATGCTTAATAACTGAGTTACCCTGGCACCCCACCAAACTGGTATTTCAAAACAATTTTTAAAAAAAATTATATATAGAGCGTGGGGAAGGGGGGGATAGAGGGAGAGGGGAAGAGAGACAGAGAATATCCTAAGCAGGCTCCATGTTCAGTGTGGAGCCTGATGTTGGGCTTGATCTCACAATCTTGACTCCATGACCTAACCAACTAAGCCACCCAGACGTCCCTAACCAAACTGTTACATTAATTGATGCCTTCTCCCTATCTTGTTCTTTCTAATTTTCTTTTATTCTTGACATGCTCCTGACTTGGAGTTTCCTTTCCCTTGTATTCTGCCTAGCCCTATCTTTCTATCCTCTGTCTAGGTGTAATCTTTCAAGGTTCTACTTAAATCCCACCCTCTCTAGGAAGCACTCCTACTCTGTGTGAATCCTTGATGTTTTCTACTCCCCTCTTACTCCTAGAATTTCAGTTTAGTGCAATAATTATTTACTGAATAATTTGTAGACCCTGATCATTTCTGAACTCAAGGACTTTATAGTCTAATAGGGAGGTCAGACATATAAAGTGTATTATGGGCTCTTACAGAAGTGTATATATAAAGTGCAGAAGAAGAATAGAAGAGAATGTTTTTAACTCCATTCTACCATCTGCTTATGTTTATGTGTAGGATGTCTTATTTAGCCCTCATCACTGCAAAAACAGTGGTCTACTTAGGCAAATTTTCTAGGTTACTGAAGCTTAATTCTTTGCTATGTATTATATATATATATCTACAGTACATATATATATGCATATATATATATGTACTGTAGATAAATACATCTGTGCATGTTGGTCTTTATCTTTCATTCTGAAAGAATTCCATTTCACAGTCCGTAAAACTGAATTTGAGATCACTCTAGTAGCTTTCTTACAAATGCCGTATCACATCTCTAAATCTTTGTCCTAGGTTTTAGCTCTTGAGTGTACTCCCTCCCAAATTAGGTTCACTTAGGAAAGTGCTCTTCCCACTTCACGTCACTTTAACACAAGTACCTTCTATTCTTCCATGAGCCAATTTCCTACCATTAGTACAAATGCCTGAATTGGGTCTTCAAGGAGAACAATGTTGAGTTCTTATTATTTTCTTGAGACATGCTTCTTTTGTGCTATGTAGGGAAACCAACTTTGTATGGTAGCCTGACTTGTCAAGGAATTGGCCTCGATGGCATCCCAGAAGTTACAGCTTCAGAAGGATTTATTGTGAATGAAATAAATAAGGTAGGTTTTTATGTCTTCTAGATGACACCGAGTCCAAAACTGGGTAGTACCTATATATCTACTGTAAATATGTATACTGTTATTTGTATATCTATGTATATCTATGTTATCTTGTATAGTAATCAGTTTTTACGCCTTTGAATGTCAAGAGGTTTTTTTTCTTTTGTAGTTACATATACTTTTAGATACTTTTAGTTACGTATACTTAGTCTTACTTCCCTTATATCAGCGCTATTCAGTAGGTAAAATAATGTAAACCCCATATGTAATTTTAAACTTTCTAGGAACCACATAAAAAAGGTAAAAAGAAACGGTTGAAATTAATTTTAATAATATATTTTATTTAACCCAGTAGATCTAAAATATTATTTCAACCTATAATTAATATTAAGAAATTGTTAATGAGATATTATACATTCCGTTTTTCTTACTGAGTTTTTGAGATCCTGTGTATATTTTACATTTACCACACATCTCAATTCAGACTCTAATTTTTTATTGAAAATACTTGATAAATGTATTTAGGTTCTATAAAATTTACAGGTGAGAGCACAGATTCACATACCCAAGTAGTTCCAAATATACTTAAAAAGTTTTCCAAAAACTGAGTCAAGTATTAGTTTTTAAATTAAATTTTAAATAAAATAAAAATGCAGCTCTTCATTTGCACTGGCCGTATTTCAAATGCTCAATAACCTCATGTGGCCAGTATCTACCATATTGGACAGCATAGCCTTTATCTGACTAGGCCTTGATGAAGACCTACGTTAATAGTACTTAATAGTTTTTCTCATTTGTCTTTGAAGTGAGTAGATGGCTAAACTAAGTACAGTAAAACCTTGGATTGCGAGTAACCTTTTCTGTGAGTATTCTGCAAGATGATTAATCATTTCTAATAAATGTTAACTTGTTAAAGGAGCAATGTCCTGCAATACGAGTAGAATATGACACCCAATATTACATAATCACAACTGAGCCAATGGTTCTTAAAATTTGCCTTGATAAATGAATGCTTTGGATTAAAAGCATGTTTCTGTAATGAATTATGCTTGGGGTTTTACTGTGTTGCAGAACCCAAGATCTGACTTTTCTTACTCATTCTGATAGCTGTAGTCAGTATGCTCTGGTGGGTAACCTGATTCCCAAAGGGGAAACCAGCCTTTCTTTTTTTTCTCTTTTAATGTGTAATTAAATGGAGATGATATTCTACCTATAGGCTGGTTAATGGGGAGTGAGACTGCATATGAATGAAACTATAAAATATTACAAAAGTGAGTTTTTGTTTATCATAACAATCCCGTGGTATTGATATTTTAAATTCCCATTTTGCATGTAAGCAAACAGATTGAGAGGTTAATTAGCCCTAGTAATCAAATCTAGTTAGACTGTATGCCAGAATTGAAACCAGTTCTATAAACTTCCAAATATGAACACCAGTTTGCAAGCCTACATTTTTCCCAGGTGTTTTGCCAGCCACAGCGCCAGTTCTGATTTCCTTTCTTCTCTTCATACGTAGGCCCTGATACAATCCTTATCTCTTCCAACCTCATTGTTAATTTCTGCCAGTGTACCTGCTAGGTAAGACAGTAAGTGGTTATAGTTGAACATTCATTTGTTTCCTAATTGCCCTGAGTTACTTTGTGGTCAACTTTTGCAGTTGCTACATCGTTCTATTAAACAGTAGATTATGCTTAAATACATAATCCTGGAGTATAAAAGAGTTTGACTTTGAATTTTATCTTAGCATAGAATGCTCACACTCTTCCCCCAAACCTTGTCCTGAATTTTATGTTTTGATATCCTGCAGCTTTTCATTAAAATATTTTCATTAACAGCATGATTTTCTACTGCTGATATTGGAAGGTAGTTAACATTTCTTTTCCTCCATAGTTTGTTTATGGATTAAAGGCTGAATTGCTTGATTGATAAGTGAGAGAATACTATTGATTGGTGAAATCTTTCATATAATTAGTCTCAAAGAAATGAAGTCTTCTGAGGGCAAACCCAGTTCTTAACAGATGCCTGAACACTGAGTTCATGGAGTTCCTTGAATCCTTGCTGATAGGAATGTTTTAAACCAGGAGAGTTTAGCTGACGCTTTAATTTTGGATACAAGAGGCAATTCCAAATCCAGGTCAGCTCTCTTGCTGCCGTATGGGCTTTGTCATGCAGTTAGAAGCAAAAACTAATTTAATGAAAAACCTGTGGGCAACCACATATGGATATGCTGGCTAAGAAAGTGCTGTTTGTATAGGTAGATATTCTGATGGTGTTTTTAAAGGAGTAGAATACTTGTAATAAAAGTATTTTGATTTTTAGTGATGAGAATATTATAATTTTGAAACTTTTTAAAAAAATATTTTATTTCTCATCTCTTCTATTTTAATTTTTTGTTTTTACTTGAGAGAGAGAGAGAGGGTGCACAAGCAGGGGAGAGGGACAGAGAGAGAGAGAGAGAGAGAGAGGGTGCACAAGCAGGGGAGAGGGACAGAGAGAGAGAAAGAGAGAGAGCAAGAATCTTAAGCAGCCTCCACATCCCGCACAGAGTCTGATGCGGGGCTTGATCCCACAGCCCTGGGATCATGCCCTCAGCTGAAATCAAGAATTGGGCTTTCAACCGAGTGAGCCCCCCAGGCACCCCTGAAACTCTTCTTTCTAATGAACTGTGAGGACCTGTGTTTGTTGTATATAGATTAACCTTAGGAAAAGGTTTGGAAAATCTTGATTTTTGAAGATATTTTCATTGTTCAGCAGAATTTCCAGAAACTTTGAAGTACTGCTGCAAAAGAGATAACAGGTTAGGAACCATTGGGTGAGTGTGGCTCCTCAGCTTCCCTGTAGGAGATACACACTTAGATGGTGGTGCTGGTATTCTGGCAGTTAGAATAAAGGGCTGTCCTATTTGCAAGAATCCTTGAAACGTTTACCAAGCCTTTTATACATGTATACATGCTACCTTGAAATCTTAAATGGTTACAAAGGCTGCCTTTGCAAGTTATGTCACCTGAATCTAACATCTAGTTCTAGGTGTGGTTTCCCACTATGTCACCAGTTTTCTTGCTACAACAGCTGAAAGATATGTGGTAATGACTATGCAAAAATACATGGGGAATTAATACAGCTGTGGGGCGATGAGCAGTCAGTGAACATGTGTAGTCAGTTTAAGTCCTAGGTAGGAATGAGCACTGAAGTCCTGACCAGGCATACACATTGTATAAGTATACCATAATTTGCTAATTTTCTCTGGTAACTATGATATCAGTAGTCTAACATTTTATCTAAAAGGTCTTAAAGGCGGTAAGTTTACTTTTAGACTGATTGTTTAGGCCCTAGACTTGGAATCTGGTGCTGTTTCCTCCTGTTAATCCTGTTCCCCCCATTGCTAATTGAAAGTACTGGTATTAGATTTTCTCATAAAAATTAATGCTTTCATGTTTGTCATTTTTTTTTAAAGTGTTTTTAAGTGTTTATTTATTTTGAGAGAGAAAGCACACACATGCCTGGGAGCAGGGGAGGGGCAGAGAGAGGGAGAGAGAGAATCCCCAGCAGGCTCTTATGCTGTCTTGTGTAGAGCCCCACGCGGTGTATTGATCTCGCAAACCGTGAGATCATGACCTGAGCCAAAAGCAGGAGTCAGAAGCTTGAGTGACTGAGCCACCTAAACACCCCTCGTGTTTGTCATTTGTACTTACTGTTGGTTTGTCTTCTGTGGGAGTTTATTTCACCATAAAAAGATAATGGCATCTAAGCAATACAAAATTACATTGCACCCCTTTGCATTATAAGGGCTGCTGATTTATAGGGGAGTGGTTGTGTTGTGAGCTGGCAAAGGGCGATAAGAGCGGGTACATTTAAAAGATGAAAATTTCCTATCATCCTGATGTTTTCTTTAAGAGGCTTTAATTTCACTGGAGTAACTTTATTGATGAATTTCATCTTTCCCTCTCTATTTAGAAAAGCATTCATATTTCTTGTCCGGAGGAAAACGCATCCTCGAAGTTTTTGGCACCATACACTACTTTTTCCAGAATTCATTCCAAGAGTGTAAGTATTTTGATAAAATGAGGAGAAAATAGGGGCGCCTGGGTGACTCAGTCGGTTAAGCAGCCAACTTCGGCTCAGGTCATGATCTCACGGTCCGTGAGTTCAAGTCCCACGTCAGGCTCTGTGCTGACAGCTCAGAGCCTGTTTCAGATTCTGTGTCTCCCTCTCTCTGACCCTCCCCCATTCATGCTCTGTCTCTCTCTGTCTCAAAAATAAATAAACGTTAAAAAAAAAATGTTAAAAAAAAAATGAGGAGAAAATATAATGGCATGTTATTTTTTCATTTTATCTGCTTGAGTGCTTATAGACATCCATAATTAATGTGCCTTTCATTTACTGTGCATTGTTAAGATAACACAGCTGAAGTGTGATGTTTGGCACAACCGGTATTTGGGTCCACATAGAATATGTACATAAATCCACTCACTGTTAATCTTAGAGAAAGGAATAGTCTGAAGTTTATTTATATATGTTTTAGCAGAGCTGCTTAGTGGTTTTTGGGTAATGCTGGTAACTGTGTTTGTATAATTTGTCACTGCTCATATTTCTGTCTCATTGCCGACAAGGCAGGGACATCTTCTCAAAATTCCAAGTACAGCATATTGAGGGATAATTTTCAGAGGTCGTTGTGATAATGCTCTTTCTACCATGGAAGCATAAATGAGAAATATGTGGATAAACAGATTATATTAAAACCTTCCATTTCTTATTTTAAAAATAGCTAGTTTTTACCCATATTATAAAAGGAACATAGATTTAGTAATGAAAATTTAGGAAATGTAAAAAAGGTGAAAAATCACTCACGTTCTACTACTTGAAGATAACTAATGCGAACTTTTGGTACAAAGCCTGTATTAATAATAACTTTAGTAGTAATAGCTAACGTTTGCCTACTATGTGTCTGTACCATGCTAAGCTTTATGTATTATTTTACTTGATTCTCCCTGTCTTTTCTTTAAATATTTTATCAAAATAGGTTTTTACAGTATATGCTGTTTTATAACTTGCTTTATATTCCTTAGTAATATGTTATGTACATCATTGTACGTCACCTTTTTATATATTCTGTTAAGAACTGCATAGTATTCTGCTGTATGATTTTACCACAGTTTATTTTTTCCAATCTTAGTGGACTTTCAGGTATCTTTGATTTCCTGATTTCATATTTTGATAGTATACTTAGAGCTAACCCTTTACTCACAAAGATAGGAAGAAATTAGAATACATTGGTAAAATAGACTTGTCGAGTCACAGGAAATGCAAATTATAAAGCTTTTGGTATGTTTTAACTGACTTCCACTTAACTAATTTATTGAGCTAACTGTTTCTCTGCATTTTCCATATAAAACATACTGACTGATGCTCACAGCATATTCACGATTTATGAGCTCATTCCTGAGATCTGCATATTGTTGACACTACTGGTTAAGTTGAATGCTTACCAAGGATCAGTTATAATTCCAGTTATATTGTTTCTGAAATTATGTTAATGAATTAAATATGTCCAACCAATGTAATATAAGTGAAAACTTTGAAAACTAAGTTGATTGCATTATAAACACTTGATAAAGGAGAGGATTTTTAAAAAACTGCTGTAATGATATGTGTAAGCAAAATAAATGCAAAATGTTAGGGAAAAGATTTTTTTTCTTTAAAATTTATTTATTTTGAGAGCAAGAGAGAAAGGGGGAGAGAGAGAGAAAGAGAGAGAGAGAGGAGAGACAGTGGATCCCAAGAAATCTTCATGCTGTCAGCACAGAGCTCGACTCGGGGCTCGAACTCACAAACTGTGAGGTCATGACCTGAGCTGAGGTCAGATGCTTAATCCACTGAGCCACCCAGGCACCCTCTGTTTTTAGTTTTTTTTTGAGGAACCTCCATACTGTTTTTCAGAGTGACTGCATCACTTTTCATCCCAGTCAGCAGTGCAAGAGGGTTGCCCTTTCTCCGCATCCTCTCCAGTACCTGTTGTTACTTGTGTTACAAATTTTAGCAATTCTGACAGGTGTGAGGTGGTATCTCATTGTGGTTTTGATTTGTATTTCCCTGATAACGAATGATGTTGAGGATAAGAGCTCTTATATTAAGGGTATTGACCCTCTGCCATATATTTTTCAGATAGTTGCTTCTTACTATTGTTTATTTATGGTGTCTTTTGACATACAGATATTTAATATCTCTAGATAATAAAACCCAGCAACTTATTCCTTTATGGTAACACTTTTGGGGTCCTGCTTATGGTAGTCCATGATTTTTATATATTCACTTTGGGTGTAATGGTAAGCATAATGGGTAAGAGCACCGACTTTAGGGATAGACTCATTTGATTTGCTTCTTTGGCATTGAATGTTGGTTCTGCCACTTACTAACTGTGACCTTAGGCCAGGTACTTAACCTCTGTGTGCCACAGATACTTTATTTGTAAAATAGGGGTAAAAGTAATATCTCATAGGGGTGTTATGAGGATTGAAACAGTTAGAATTCGGTCTGAAACATAGTAAGCACGATATAAGTGTTAAATACAATTATATAGTATTTTCTTTGTTTTATTTTTTTACATTTCAAACTTTATTTTTGTTATTTAATTTAATTTTTTTTTTAAAGTAGGCTCCATGCCCAGCGTGGGGCTCGAACTCATGACCCTGAGATCAAGAGTTGCAGACTCTACCAATTGAGCCAGCCAGGTGCTCCTGTTACTTAGTTTAAAGTAGGGATCTAACTTAATTCTTTTTGAAGTGATTAGCATATCACAGCACTATAAAGTAATCCATCCTTTATCTCACTTGCTTGAATTGTCATATTTATCCAATATTTAGAATTATCCAATTCATCTGGGTTTTTTTTGCCATAACTAAGAAATAGATCTTTAGCTTTAGACCCAGACCTACGTTTACATCCTGGCTCTGTTGTTTCGCCTTGGCAATATTATTTAATCCCTTCTTAAACCCCAGATTTCTCAGCTGAAAAATACAAATAATACCTATCTTATAGATTTTTGAGCATACTAGATTTGGGTAGTGTCTGTTACATGTCTGGTACATAATAGCTATTCAGTAATGTTAGTTCCCTTTCCTCTTTAACAAAAGTTTGGAGAAAGGAGACAGTTGGTATGACCTATAATCGACTCTTCAATGTTCTCTCACTTTGGAAGAACTGAGTAGTTCAGATTCAACTAGTTTTTATATCAGGGAACTAGGTCCCCAGAGATATGTAACACACATAAGGTAACAATATCCCTGTCCCTTCCAGGGACAGTATATTAACTGAGAAGATACAATAGAATATATCAAAGTTTCTCGATCATGGCACTATTGACATTTTGAGTTCAATAATTCTTTATTGTAGTGAGCTGTTCCCCAAGTGTGACAAGTAAAAATGTTTCCAGACATCACCAAATGTGATGAGGTAATTTGCCCACGGTTGACCACTACAATATACAAACATAGTGCTGCAGACTTACTAAAGGAGGAAGTGATAAACTTTTTGGCAGAGTTGGGAGAACCTTTGAGAAGTAGGTAATTTTTTTTTCCTTTTCTCTAGCTTACGTTATTTTAAGAATACAGTGTATAATACATATAATATAAAACATTTGTAAAAAATATATTTGTAATTAAATTAAATTTACTTTTTTTTTTTAAAGTAAGCTCTGTGTCCAATGTGGGGCTTGAACTCACAACTCTTGAGATCAAGGGTCATGTGCTCTATCGACTCAGCCACCCAAGTGCTCCAAATTTACTTATTTGAGTATAGTTGAAAGAAGGTCATTTAAAAAAATTATTAATTTTTCTATTTCTTATGCTATTTCTTATTATTTTTCTATTTCTTACTCTCCTTTTCTCTTATTTGAGTTCATCAGTAGGTAATTTATCCAATTATTAATCACCTGCTATATTCCAGGTACTTCTCTGGGCACTGAGACTACAGCAGTGAATAAAACTGTGATGTAGAGCCTACCTTCTTGGGGTGTAGAACTAGACATGGTTTTCTAATGATGTGGGTGTGAGATGTGAGAGAAAACGAGGAGAAGGGTTGTTTCCAAAAATTTCCAAAGAAGTGGGTAAATAGTGGTGCCATTTACTAATGAGGTCAAGTAGTTGTATTGGTGTGGAGCAGGGAGAAATGAGAGTTCTTTTCTGAACATGTTAAGTTTGAGGTGACCACTATAAAGCCAAAGGTGGACGGATGCCTAGGTGGCATTTGGATAGACTACCTGAGTCAGGAAAGGGGTTGCGCTTTGTTGCTTTAGGGATTAATTCTATTTCAGAGAGTGAGTAGGAGAATGTTTAAATGTCTTTGTTTCTTGGGCCCTGCAAATGAGGACTGTGGTTGCTCTTATGGATATAGGTCAGATGGCTTCACTTTCCTACCTAGTGTTGTTTAGGTACTTCATTCCTTTTTTTTTTTTTTAATGTTTATTTTCGAGAGAGAGAGACAGAGTGCAAGTGGGGGAAAGGCAGAGAAAGAGAGGGACATACAGAATTTGAAACAGGCTCCAGGCTCTGAGCTGTCAGCACAGAGCCTTAATGCAGGGGCTTGAACTCACGAACTGAGAGATCATGACCTGAGTCGAAGTTGGATGCTTAACCAAATGGGCCACCCAGGTGCCCCTGAGGTACTTCACTCTTATTACCACACTGCTGTTGGTGGTATTTGTTGAGTTGTTACTATGTACGTAGTCTATGATTGTGTTAAGAAGGTGCTGGACACGGACGCCTGGCTGGCTCAGTTGGTAGAGCATGCGATTCTTGATCTCAGGGAAGTAAGTTTGGAGCCCCACGTTGGGTGCAGAGATTACTTAAAAATAAAATCTTTCAGGGGCACCTGAGTCGTTCATTTGGTTGAGTGTCCGACTCTTGATTTTGGCTCAGGTCATGGTCTCATGGTTTGTGATTGAGCCCCATGTTGGGCTCTGCACTGACAGTGCAGAGCCTATCTCTCTGCTCCTCACTTTCTGCCCCCCCCCCCCCCCCCCACTGCGTGCACACTCTCTCTCTCTCTCAAAATAAATAAGTAAAAAGAGCACCTGGGTGGTTCAGTTAGTTAAGCATCTGACTTTGGCCCTGGTCATGATCTTATGGTTTGTGAGTTTGAGTCCCACATTGGGTGAGCTCAAGCCCCGCTTCAGGTGAACACGAGCCCCACTTCAGGTAAGCCCTGTTTTTCTGTCTCTCTTTCTCTCTCCGTCTATCTCTCTCTGCCCCTTGTGGGATTCTCTCTTTCTCTCCCCCACCAGAGAAATAATAAACGTAAAAGTTTTTAAATAAGTTATTTTTTAACAATATTTATTCCACTTATGTTAATTTTTTAATGTTTATTTACTTTTGAGAGAGAGAAGGAGAGAGAGAGAGAGTGAGCATAAGCGGGGAAGGGGCAGAGAGAGAGGGAGACAGAATCTGAAGCAGGTTTCAGGCTCTGAGTTGTCAGCACAGAGCCCAATGCGGAGCTCGAACTCATGGACTGCGAGATCGTGAGCTGAGCTTGGCAGACACTCAACTGACTGAGCCACCTAGGTGCCCCTCAAAAAAAAAAAAAATAAATAAATAATTAACAAACATTAAAAAATTAGAAAAAAAGTTATAAAAATTTTTAAAAAATCTTTCAAGGAAATAAAAAAAAGAAAGAAAGTGCTGGACATTGTTCTGACACTTACAGAGCTTGTCGTGTAGCTGGGGAGCCAGATATGGAGTTGAAAGAAGTTAATTGGCAATACCAGTAGTTGGGCTTAAGGCCCAAGATTAGGGTGGTAGCAGTGGTCTTGGAGAAGAAAGATAGATCTGGGAGATAGTTCTTCTGCACTAGAATGTGAAGGCAGGGCTGTCCAATTTACCTCTGTGTTGCTATTACCAGCAATAGGAAACTAGGAGCAGAATGGGATTATTATGAAGATCAAATAGTATAATGTATTTGAAAATGTTTTATAAGTGATAAAACATGATATAAATGTTAATTGTTGTCATAATCCTTAAAATTAAAGGATCCACAATAAAGTTAACAGTACTTTTATTCCAAGGAACCAAAGTAAAGAAAAGGGCACCTGGGTGGCTCAGTCAGTTAAACGTCCAGCTCTTGATTTTGGCTCAATTCATGGTCTTGTGGTCATGTGATTGAGCCCCATTAGACTCCACACTGAGCATGGAGACTGCCTGAGATTCTCTCTCCCTCTCTCTCTGCCCCTCCCCCACTTGCACATATGCTCAAAGTCTCTCTCTCAAAACATGAAGAAAAAGTCTTAGATTGTGTTAGAATTGATAGATGTATCCCTTCAGTTCTTGCCAGATTTACTCATTATGGCTCAAATGGCATAGAAAAAAGTAAAATGGAAGGTTGGATAATTTAAAGCCAAAGTCCCTAGTTTCTCCTTAATAATTTAGGCCACATGGGAATCACTGTTGCCGGGTATATATCTGGGATTATATATCTTAGTCCTACATTTCTGGAATGTTTGCACCTGGGTGTTTTTTAATAAAAAGGGTATGTATGTATACATGTGTATGGTCATTGCTTATGTATGAAGTCATTGTTAATGTTGAAACTGCATAAGTGAATCAGAATTTTTTGTTACTTATTCTGAAATAGACATATACACATAATTAGGATTTTACAGAGAGAATGTAAAATAGTAAATTGGAAGCATCTTTGCTTTTCCTTGAATCCTTCTGGTACATTTTAGTTGACTTTATTTTGTGTAAATAGGTTCCTAAGAATTAGGTATCTTAATTCTAAAATAGCAAAAGATGAAAATGATGGAAATGGTATGGGGATAGGAAAAACTGTTTAAAAAGCTGAAGCAGGAGACTATATAGATGATTAGAAGAACATCTTTTTGTTTTGAGAAATAAAAGGTATTGGCACTAGCCTTGTTAGGAGACAGGTGATGTCCTTTGTGCTGGGAAGTGTAGGCTTGAAGAAGTCTTGGGGGAATATGAAACAGGGAAATCTTTAACATATTTCAAGAGAATAAGAACATTTCATTATTTATAACACCAGTTGTTTTGTTTTTTGAATAGATAACGTGCCTGGACATTTCCAGTGGAGGCGGCCTTGGTGTGTCTTCTAGTGCTGATGGGAGCATGAAGATCTGGCAGGCTTCCAATGGCGAGCTCAGAGTAAAGGCTTTGAATATGCTTTTTGGGTCTCATGCCTGAAGGGTGGTCTGAGAAACCTTAGACTGGGTCATGGGTGGAAGAGTGGCACATTCTAAATTTTTAGGACCACTGCACTTCAGTTGACCTTTGTTCTCCCATATGTTAATCTCGGAACCATCCTCAATCTTGGTGATTTTCCAGAACAAATTGGGGCTGGAACAGTGGAGGAGCCACTGTGAATGTCTAAATGCGTGGTCCCTTGGTATGAACTTCCTTCAGTGATCAGTTTCTAAGACAAAGTAACTAGACTATTATTACTAATTATATGGCTGAGCTCCTCTAACCCATACAGAGGATTTTAAGAAGAGGTAAGAGTCCTCAAGCCTCCATGTATGTAGAAGTAGACTTACAGATGGCTGAGAACCTCGGACTTCAAATCCACAACATCTGTAGCCAGAGCTACAGGAAAGGGAGTCAGCAGCTCTTAGAACACTACCTGGTATACAAATGAGCTAAAGAGTTCCTTTTTGACCCCCATAGTTCTAAAACCCAGCATGTAGGTATAGCAGGTAGATATTTCATTAAAGGGACCGAGGATATAAGAGGTAAGAGAAAATCAGGGGATGGACAAGAGAACTAGCATGGAATTTTCTTTTGTTTTTCCAGAGAGTATTGGAAGGACATGTGTTTGATGTGAATTGTTGCAGGTTTTTCCCATCAGGCCTTGTGGTTCTGAGTGGGGGAATGGATGCCCAGTTGAAGATCTGGTCAGCTGAAGATGCTAGCTGTGTGGTGACCTTCAAAGGTCACAAAGGAGGTATGAAGGGTAATTTCTCCAAAAGGCTTCTCTAATGATCCCCGGAGACGAATCACCAAAAGGTAGAAACAGAAGCTAGTTATCTACAGAAACACAAATAATTCCTCCAACTGGCCATTTAAATGAGCTATTTCCTCAAGGATTAGACATTACTTTGACACTGAGTCTTGTTATTACTAACTGCCTTACACAGATAGTTGTTTTCCACAATAGACAAGTGAAAAAAAATCCTCCCCAGGAGGTCATCAGCTTGTGTGCTGGGAGAGACAGAGATGTGTGCCAACATTTTCTCATTAATCCTTTGGCTGAGGTGATAATAAAAGCTGGGTGGCAATGGCTGCATCACTAGACAACAAAGATAGAGCGTGGTACTTGTCAGGTCCCATGGATTTAAGTCACAGTTCAGATACTAAAAATGGATTAGCCATACAGCCAGTTGATATCAGGTTATAGAGACAGAATGAGAACATTTTCCCCTTGTAACTGGTTAGTTTGTTGGAAAAAAATGATAATTTAGAAATGTTTTATCCTTAATCAGAATGTTAAAAAGCTTCATGGGATCAAGCCCCACATCTGGCTCTGTGCTGACAGGGCAGAGCCTGCTTGGGATTCTCTCTCTCCCTGTCTCTATACCCTTCCCCTTCTCTCTCTCTCTCTCTCTCTCTCTCTCTCTCTCTCTCTCTCTCTCTCAAAATAAACATTTTTTTTAAAGCAGAGGTAAGATTTGTGTATGGTTTTTTGTTTTATTTTCGTTTTGAGAGTGATGGGGGTGGGTACAGAGAGAGATGGAGGGAGGGAGGGAGGGAGGGGGGAGAGAGAGAGAGAGAGAGAGAGAGAGAGAGAAAGAGAAAATCTTAAGCAGGCTTCACACTGAGGGTTCAGTCTCACAACCATGAGATTGTGCATGATTTGAGCCCAAATCAAAAGTCAGTCGCTCAACTGACTGAGCTACCAAGGTGCCCCCATCTTTCAGTCTTCTTATACTTTCTGTCTTATGTCCAGGTTTTTTTCATTTACAAGGGGAACGACCTGAGGGAGATGGGGCTACTCTATCTTGTCCAGACTGGAAGTCACATCTTTTTGTGAAATGGGGAGATTAATCCTTTCAATTAGTTCTCAATGGAAGCAGTAAGACCGTGATTTTCAAACTGAACTAAGATGTCTTCTTAATTTTTATTTAAAACACATGTTTTAAAGCCAAAATTGAAGCTTCAAAACCACTGTTCTAGGACACTACACTAAGAATTAAATCCAAACCTTTTTCCATGTCTGTCTCTAAGGGCTAGTCTTTGAACCACTGGGAAGCAGGGACTCTTTTATTTATTTCTGTTTTGTAGCACTTGAACTTGCCCAGCCTGTAGTACGTATCCAGTGTGTGTTTGTGAAGGAATGGAGTTATTATGCAGATCCATCTTCTCTGCCCTGTAATTCCTTTTCTACCCACTCCATTACAGGGTCGTTTTTTGTTGTTTATTTTTCTTGCCAGGTATTCTGGATACAGCCATTGTTGATCGGGGCAGGAATGTGGTGTCTGGTTCTCGAGACGGAACAGCACGACTTTGGGATTGTGGGCGCTCAGCCTGCCTGGGAGTCATTGCAGACTGTGGTTCTTCCATCAATGGAATGGCTGTGGGTGCTGCTGACAACTCCATAAATCTTGGCTCCCCTGAGCAGATGCCCAGTAAGTTGATAATGATATGTTGAGCTTATTTTGTTACCTTAGGCACCTTCAGTGTTTGCCTTAGCTTCTCCTTCCTCATCCTTTCCTGGTCTTTGGCTGGTATTTGATTATTCTCACCATAAGGTTAATATTTATTGCATACCTATACTATGTTCCTGTTGCTTTGGAATCTACAAAAGAAGTATATGTCATTGTTAACTACATTTGAGTGAGTACAGTCTAGCTTAGCAGACGAGACTGATGCCTATAAAATAGAACAAAAATTTTTTAGCTGAAACAACTTAATGATTCTTAATGCAAATGTAATAGTTTTTTGGAAGAAGAGAGTATTTTATATTTTAGGTTAGTGTACATGAGACAGATGTCAGAAAGAAGTTGACTTGAACCTTGAAGGATGAATTTGGGTTGAACAGACAAGAATGGGAATAATGGGAGATGGGGGGAGGAATAGGGGCAGTTCACATTAAGACGGTTTGGAGGTAAAATTGACTTGGGTAGAAAGATATGCATGGCCGGGGCAGAGGTTTGATTAAGAGTAGTAGTAGTGGGGGGGCCCCTGGCTGGCTCAGTTGATAGAGCATGTGACTCTTGACCTCAGAGTTGTAAGTTCGAGCCCCATGTTAGGTGTAGAGATTACTTAAAAAAATCTTTAGGGGCGCCTGGCTGGCTTAGTCAGTGGAATGTGCAACTCTTGATCTTGGGGTTGTGGGTTCAAGCTCCACATTGGGTGTAGAGATTACTTAAAAATTAATTTTTTTTAAGTTTTTATTTTTATTTTTGAGAGAGAGAGAGAGAGCAAGCATGCTCAGGGGAGAGGCAGAGAGGGAAAGACAAAGAATCCCAAACAGGCTTAGGTTATGATCTCATGGTTCAGTTTGTGAGATTGAGCTCTAGGTCTAATGTACAGACCTCTTTCCTGAGTTTCAAACTCTTTAGATGTCTGATAGACAGCTCAAACTTAACCTTACCTAGCATGGAATATTTTATTTTCCTCCACCCCAAATCTGTATTTTGTCCCGTCTCAGTAAATGGCACTACCATCTACCTATTTGAATGATCATTCACAATCCATCCCACCTTTCCTCATGTCCTATGTTAGCAGACTCTGTCATCTCTACCTACAGTCTACAGATTGTTTCTGATTTTTCCACCTGCCCTCTTCTTCTCCCTTCCTCCTAGCCTCGTGTTCTGGTCTGTCATCATCTGTTGCCTGTGCTCATCCCCTGTAATCCATTCTCCTGAGAGCAACTTTTGTGGTCATTTAAAAAAGCATAAGTTATGTCTCTCTCCTTTGTTCCTACTCTCCTCCAGTAGCCTCCTTTTATACATATATTAAAATCCTAGCCCCTTCTTTGGCTTATCACAAACCCTTACACTTTCTAACCTCCTCGTTCCTCTCTAGCCTCATGTCATACTGCCCTCTGCTAGACCCGCCACGTTCCAGCCACAGGCCTTCTGTCTGTTCTATCATCACTACAAACTTTGCCAGCCTCTTGGTCTCTGCCTTGTTCTTCCCTTAGTCTGGAATGTACTTCCAAAAGTTCTTTGCATGACTACCTTTTGGTTACCATTCAGGTCTCAGTTGAAAAATGGCCTCCCTGGAGTTTTTTTAAAGTTGAAGTTTAAATTTAAAGTTACCTTCCTGACTCTCCTTCCACTGTCTACTCACTTTTGATCATACTTTTCTGTTTTGTTTCCTTTGTGGAACTCATCACTGTCTGAAAATATCCTATTTGTTTATTTATCTACTCCACTATTTCCTCTTTCCACTAGAATTCTTGAGAGTAAGGACCTTGTCTGTTTATATATTACTGTTACTATGTTATTATTTGTGTATGCTATTTGTATATTACTAGGATAGTGTCTGATATGTAGTAGACCCTCAATAAAGATTTGTTTAGTGAATGAATAAATTTCATTGACTACAGACCATAAGAGCCTTGAGGGCAGAGACTATTTTGTTCAGATTAATTTATTTATTAAGTAATCTCTACCCCCAACATGGGGCTCCAACTTATAACGCCAAGATCAAAAGTTGCATGCACTACTGACTGAGCCAGCCAGGCACCCCAAAAGTCACTCTTTTTAAAATGTCAGTTCTGTGAATTTTGACATGTGTACAGTCATATAAACAATATCAAAAGTCCAGATATAGAACATAATGTTTTTTTAAGTTAGTAAGTTAATCACTAACAGTAATTCAGTAGATAGCCATCAATATCTACTTTCTGGGCACAGCCAGCTGATCAGCCTTGCCCACTGTTAACTTGGCTCATCTGTCATGCAGGTGAACGGGAGGTTGGAACAGAGTCGAAAATGCTGCTGTTGGCACGGGAAGATAAGAAACTTCAGTGCTTGGGACTGCAGAGCAGGCAGCCGGCAAGTGGTTCCTCTAAGACTTTTGAACTCTGGTGCAACCTGGGTCACTCTGATTTTTGAAAGGCTGTTTTGGAAACATTTCTGTTTGCTCCCTGTGTTCACCTTTTGAGGAAGCTGCAGGAATAAGGAACAGTAAAGTGTAATGATTAAGAACAGAGGTTTTGGGTTAAGGGCAACATTCACATCCTAGCTCCTCCACAATGGCTGTGACATTGAACAGGTTACTTAACCATTCTGAGCCTCAGTTTCCTTGTCACCAAACTAGGCATAGTAGTACTCACCTTCTAGGGTTATGTGATAAGGATTAAATGCTCTACTGCATTGTGAGCTTTGTTTAGTCACTTTCTCTCTGGACCTTAGTATGCTATATATAAAATGATGAGGTTGTGTAGATTCCCTTCTGTGTCCAAAGTAATGTGAAGAAATTCTGAGTAAAGGACTCATACGTTCAGGGCTTTTGATCAATTAATGGCCAGAATGTCTTTTATGGAAGAATTAGTTTAGTTTTCTTCCTTCAGGTTCTGAGGTTTTGCTGGGCAAGACTGTGCTCTTCATTAAGCTCTGAGTTCCCTGGGATTCAACTTTTAAATTTTCTTTCTAGTTCCTGTCAACATCACCCAAACAACTATAATGATTTGGTTTGGCCACAAGTTGTTTTGGTTTTTTTTTAATGTTTATTTATTTTTGAGAAAAAGAAACAGAGCGGGGGTGGGGGGTGGGGGGGGAGGGGAGGGCGGGGCAGAGAGAGAAGCAGTCTCCAGGCTCAGAGCTGTCGGTACAGAGCCTAATGCAGGGCTCAAACTCACGAACCATGAGATCAAGACCTGAGCCAAAGTCAGACACCTAACTGACTGAGCCACCCAGACACCCTCAGGTTTTGTATTTCATTTCTTCTCATTACTTCATTGTGCTAGTGATGTTTCCATTTTCAGAAATGACGTTCCAGGAACATCACTCTTTTTTATCATATTGCTTTTGCAGCATCACTCTTTTTTATCATATTGCTTTTGCACTCTGAATTTCCATGTTGACTTTTCCTTCCAATGAGAAATCACAGGTTTTGTTTGCTTGGCTGGGTTTGTTTTTTTCTTTCCTTTTTAGAACATTTGAAGGAGAAATGATCACATTGAACTAATAGTACGGAATACATAAAAATCTGATAATTTCTTTTTTCAGGCACATGGGGAGAATTATAATTTTTTATTTTTTATTTTTATTTTTTAGCATTATTTTTGAGAGAGAAAGAGAGTGAGTGAGTGAGTGAGTGAGTGAGCGAGCTGGGGAGGGACAGATAGGGAGAGAGAAAATCTCAAGCAGTCTCCATGCCCAGTGCTGAGCCCAACACGGGGCTCGATCCCTCAACTGTGAGACCATGACCTGAGCCGAAACCAAGAATCAGACACCCAACCAACTGAGCCACCCGCGTGCCCCTGTAATTCTTTAAGCTGCCACTTCATTTAAGCTTGTTTCTTTTCCTGCATAGTGTCTCCCTTCAAAAGGTTGTTAGAAGTGACACGAAGCAAAATTTAAATGTGTGAATTTCAAGTGTTTCTCAAATGGAAGGTTCTAATGAAAAGCAGGAGAAGAAGGATTTGGGGTATTGAGGATCCTATGAGTCAATGTATTGAGGGGTAATAGTTTGAAAACTGCCACCTTAGGGTATGGTATTACATAAACTGCTGAAGTACTCAGGGAGCCTCAGGTTCCTGAAATCACGAGAGTGGTTCCTCCTCCATTGTTGGTGAATTTAGATCGAGAATGTTACAAGGGAAAAGAAAGAAAATTTCTCTAAAAATAGGAGAATTTTCTTTTTTTGGTGGCTGTTTATTCCTGAAAACAAATTAATCTTTAAACAGCAGTTTTGGCTCCTGCTTGTTCCCAGGTGTTCCTCTTTGTTGGCTCAGATGCCTTCAACTGCTGCACTTTTCTCTCTGGCTTCTTGTTATTGGCTGGGACACAAGATGGAAACATTTATCAGCTGGACGTGAGGAGTCCGAGGTGAGTCACCACTCATTTGCATGATGCAGGTCTTCTTGCAGAGTGGAAATTTTTATTAGCTTTAACATTGATTTAGGATAGCATGGAGATGACTGTTGAATCAAGGGTGTATTTTTCCATTTATAAAGGTTTTCCGGTTTGAGTTGTCTGATTGTTCTTATTATTCCTGGAATCATATTAAAAGGTAATTTGATTCATGCTGTCATGATTGTTCTATTGTAGTGATTACTGTGGAATCTAAGCTTAAATAATGAACTAACATTTCACTTAAATGATTGTGTAGAACTTGTAATTTTAAGGAGCTCAGTATTTTACTCAGTGGTATTAAATCTGGGTTGGCCTAAGATTGAGCATTTTTAGTTCATGCAAGCCAGCTGTGTTTCTTTGTTTAGCTTGGATCATAACCTGTCTGAAACAGGCCTTATTCTGGTCTTACAGATACCCAGAGAAAATCAAGCAACCCCTCTGCCCCAGGATTTAACAGTTTCTCCAATTTCTGTCCTTTCTTCCTTTCATTTCTTTTCTTTGTTCAGTTGACATTAAATGAATGGCTTTTGTGGGCACTGAAAAACAGAAATAAAAGATACAGACTCTGCCTTTGAGGCATTTGGAGTCTGACAGTAAAAATGGGCAGGTAAAAGACTGTTGTGATGCAGGTGTGATCAGTGCTCTACACAGGAATTTGAGAAAGCACCTCTTCTCCAAGGAAATGAGGATTTTATTGGATTTTGTCCAGTAGGAAGTTAACAAATAAAGAAGAAGGGGCCTGCCTTGACAGAATAACATATAGAGCAGGGTGAAGACACGTATGGCACTTTCAGGGATCTCTAAAATATGACAAATATGTATGATACAGACTGGGTAGGAGGGAGGAGTGATGCCAGACAGGAAAGCAGGAGTTTGTTTAGAAAGAACTTGCAAACCATCCAGAGGAGTTTGGACTTTATTCCAAGAGTAGTGAAGAAATTCCAACGAAGGAGTGATCACCTTATACCTTTTCTCCCATAATTTAACTTACTTTACTTTTTTACTTGTTTTTGCCCTGTGGAGATAGGGAATCTCTGATCATTATTAGAAAATCAGCTTTACATATATATTAAATTGATTCTCACCTTTGTCTTTCATTTTAAAGAGTCCTGACATTTTTAATATTTTGCAATTGTCTTAATTCTGTCTATAAGCAAAATAATTAACATGTTGTTAACATTGTTGTCTTAAACTCTTATCAGGGCTCCCCTAAAAACTGGAGTTATTGGTGGTGGCTTATTTCATTTGGCTCAATGACTTGTTTAGTTAGTGACATATTTAGATTCGCTTCAAGGCAGTTTTGCATGGATGACCTTTAAGGATCTTGCCAAGAAAGAAACTGTGTGAATGTTTAATCTCTGTCCACATTCGTCCTGTTTGCTTTTGTATGGTTAGTACTATATGTTGAATACTGTCAAGCATTGCTTTTGAAGAAAGAAAGTGCAATCGCCCCTTTTTTTGAATCCTAGGGTTCCAGTACAAGTCATCCACAGGTCAGGAGCACCGGTTCTGTCCCTGCTAAGTTTCAGAGATGGATTCATTGCTAGTCAAGGTGAGTCCAGTAGCCAGATGAGATGAGAGAGTTTCCTGTAGTTCATTTAAACATGGATTTAGGGGCACTTGGGTGGCTCCCTCAGTTGAATGCTTGACTATTTTGGCTCAGGTCAAGATATCATGGTTTGTGGGATCCAGCCCCACATTGTGCTCTGCGCTGACAGCACGGAGCCTGCTTGGGATTCTCTCTCTCTCTCTCTCTCTCTCTCTCTCTGCCCTTACCCCACTCATGCATACTGTCTCTCTCTCTCCCAAAATAAATAAACATTTAAAAAATAAATAAATAGGGGCACTTGGGTGACTTGGTCGGTTAAGTGTCCAATTTCGGCTCCGGTCATGATCTCACAGATTGTGGGTTCAAACCCCATATCGAACTCTGTGCTAACAGCTCAGAGCCTGGAGCCTGCTTCAGATTCTGTGTCTCCCTCTGTCTCTGCCCTTCCCCTGCTCGTGCTCTGTCTTTTTGTCTGTGTCTCAAAAATGAATAAACATTAAAAAAAAATTTTTAATAAATAAATATAGGTTTAAATGCCTGGTCTATGGCAGGGTTAGGGGCATGGTCCTCCACAATTCTTTGGCATACTTTGTTTATCATATAGTGTTTATCACTCTACATTATAATTGTCTATATCCCCCTCTAGTCCACGTTCCTTGAGAGTAATGACTTTACCTTATTCATCATAATATAACTGTTTTCAGATGACAAAACTAAGGCTAATAAAAGGAAGTTATTAGAATCTCCTGCCAGATTAAACAATTTTTATTATAGAAATTGTCAAACAGATACTAAGGTAGAGGGAATAGAATAATGAACCTGATTATCCAGCTTCAACTATTACCAATTTATGGCTATTCCTGTTTCATCTTGTTTTGCCCATTCCCGTACAATCTCCAACCCTTAATATATTTTGAAACATATCACAAACATTGTATTATTTCACCTGTCAATATTTATCTCTAAAAGATAATTCTTTTATTAAAAAGATGATTTATAATAATAACATAAGAAAGGATACAGTCTCCTGTATGCTGTTGGTTGGGATATAGATTGATTAACAAATAACTTAAAATAAAATTGATTAACAGATAGTTTTGGACAGCAGTTTTTCAAATTTTAAAAAGCTTGAAAAGGTTAATTAAATCAAAAAAATTTTTTCCCGGGTTCCTATACAAAGTCACAGTGTTGCTCAGAAAAACTTCATGCATAAAGGTATTCTTTTATGCAATATGCTCTCAACCATGTAAAATAAAAATTTTCACAGAAAAGATTGGAAAATAACATTAAAATATTAGCAATGGTTATCTTTGGTAGATTATGGGTGATTTTTTTTACTTCTGTTTCATTTTTAAAGTTTTCTTCAATTAGTATGTACTATTTTTATATTAAGTAAAAAAAAACAAAAATTACCTCATTCAGCAGTTTATAGATCATCTCAAGTCTCATTTGTCCACATTCTTTTGAGAAAATTAAGTTTAAAAATTAGATATGCTTTTATTTTCTTGTTATAACAACTTTGCTCCTTTGCCTAGTTTTATGTGGTCAAATTCATAGATTGAAGAATAATTTGGGAGCACAGATTTTTCTTAAAATATTTGTGTAGACAGATTCTCTGTTAAAAAATCCTTGTCTAGGATAAGTTTGTAATCAGACATATAACCCTGCAGTTGCTTGCTCTGTGCCTTTGGCAGGTATTGCTAATCAAAGACTGCCCTTTATCCCACTGAGCTTGCACTTGGCCTTCAAATCCTCTAGCTCAGCATTCTAGGCAACCATTGTAGGTCCTCATATTTGACCCATATAATGAGATCTATTTGCCATTCTCAGTCTTGGGGCAATCTTCTTTCGGCTAGTGATGTACAGAAATAAACTAAAATACTGGAGTTTAAACTCCTTTGCATGCAGCTTTCTCTTCAGTTATCTGATTTTTTCTTTTGCCTTTTAGGTGATGGAAGCTGTTTCATTGTCCAGCAAGACCTAGACTATCTCATTGAGCTCACTGGGGCTGACTGTGACCCTGTGTACAAGGTACAGGCCTGGGTGATTCTCACCTGGGATCTAAGGCTTGTGAGGGGATTGAATCCAGCTACTTGGTGGGCATTCAGGATGATAAAATACTTAGGGGTGAGATAGAACACAGAAAGAGTTTTGAGTCAGAAGTGGTTTTACGTCTATAAATATTAACTGTCATTATTATTATTTAAAGTTCACTCATTTGAGGGGCACCTGGGTGGCTCAGTTGGTTAAGTGTCTGACTTCAGCTAAGGTCGTGATCTTGCATTTTGTCAGTTGGAGCCCCATGTCGGGCTCTGTGCTGACAGCTCAGAGCCTGGAGCCTGCTTTGGATTCTGTGTTTCCTCCTCTCTCTGCCCCTCCCATGCTCATGCTCTGTCTCTCTCTGTTTCTCAATAATAAATAAACATTAAAAAAATTGTTTTTTAAAGAAATAATAAAGTTCACTCATTTGATTAGAGCAGAAAGAGAAAAACAAAAGGGGAAATATCTATTGACCAGACATTCTGCTGGATGTTTGGATGTTTTACATGTATATCTTGTTTTGTTGCTATTATTCCTAAAGTATAGGTATTATGATTTCTCTTGTTTTTATACAGTTAATACATACCTGTAAACATTCAAACAGTACAAAATTATACAGACTTAAAAGTCCCTTATAAGAACTTTTTAGTTTCACTCTTCTTTCCAGAAGTAAGTAGCATTAATAGTTCGGCATGTATCTTTCAGACTGTTTTTGGACAATCTGCACTTACATCTTGTGTTTATGTATTTATGTAAATAATACAGTTTTATTTTTAGTTTGTACATAATTGGGATCATTCTGTATGTATTGTTCTATAACTTTTTTTTTTACTTAACATCTTGGAGCTCTTTTCAGATAAATGCATATAGATCCACTTCATTTTTTTTTAAATGTTTTATTATTTATTTTTGAGAGAGAAACAGAGCATGAGCAGAATGGGGGCAGAGAGAAAGGGAGACACAGAATCCAAAGCAGGCTCCAGGCTCTGAGCTGTCAGCACAGAGCCCAATGCGGGGCTCAAACTCATGAAATGTAAGATCATGACCTGGGCTGAAGTTGGACGTTTAGCCAACTGGGCCTCCCAAGCGCCCCTAGATCCGCTTCATATTTAAAAATTTCTATATAGTGTTCTATATTGTGATTTAACATACCATACAAGTGAGAAAAGTGAGATTCAGAGTAGTTGAAAAGTTGCCTTAGGTCCTGTAGCTATGGATTTGCAAATCTGAGATTAAGTTCCCTCCAGAATTCCTGCTATTTCCACTAAATTAGTGGTTCTTAACCTTTGAGTTTCAGGCTTCTTTTTTTTTTTGAAGGGTGATACATCTTGGATTATATTTTTCTATTTACAACTGAGATCCCATCTACGAACTATTTTGCTAGTCTGCATGGGTACATTAATCCTAATGAGTTTAGATTTATGATGAGTGGACTCAGTTATACAACAAAAAAGACACACACATTGTTTGTGCTCCTCCTATAAGGCCAGTTTTCATTAATATACACTGGTTTCAAAGCTTAGTCTGATTTTAAAGATGAACCAAGATACACACTGTATGATTCTAAAATCTAGTTTAGCCATTTTGTACAGTTGCTGTTTTATTGGACTACAATATATGTTGTTTTAAAAGGATGCTGGGGGCACCTGGGTGGCTTAGTCAGTTGAACATCTGGCTCTTGATTTTGGCTCAGATCATGGGATTGAGCCCTGCATCGGGCTTCATGCAGAGTGTGGAGCTTGCTTAAGATTCTCTCTCTCTTCCCCTCTGCCCCTCTCCCACTCACATTCTCTTTCTTTCTAAAAAATAAATAAGGCCCAGGTCTTCCTTTAATTTTCCCATACTGTTCAGCTCACAAATGGTTCTGAAATTAGAACCTTCAGTGTTGTACTTAAAAACTTAGGGATGTGGGGGGCACCTGGGTGGCTCAGATGGTTAAGTGTCTATTTTATTTTATATATTTTGTTATTTTTGAGTGAGAGACCGTGAGTGAGCAAGGGGCAGAGATAGAGGAAGAGAGAGAGAACCCATGAGGGGGCAGAGAGAGAGAGAGAGTGAGAGTGCAGAGCCTGAAGTGGGGCTCCAGCTCACCTGATGCGGGGCTCAGGCTCACAAACCTGAGATCATGACCTGAGCCAAATTTGGAGCTTAACCAACTGAGCCACCCAGGCGCCCCAATCATCCAACTCTTGATTTCAGCTCAGGTCATGATCTCATTGTTTGTGGGATTGAGCCCCACTTGGGGCTCCATGCTGTCAGCTCAGAGTTTGCTTGGGATTCTCTCTCTCCTCTCTCTCTCTGCCCCTGCCCTGCTTACAGGCACGTGTGCCAACATGCCCTCTCTCTCTCAAGATAAACAAATTTTTTAAAACCTTAAAAAAAACTTAAGAATATGGAGAGTCAGATAGAACAAGGGAAAAGAAAGTCATAGGTCGGCATACGAAGAACCAAGCTTCTGTGTCCCAACACCTGTGTTATGTGTGGTTTAACTAAATAAACACAGCAGTAGACCTGCTTGATTCACCTTCCAAATCCGAAAAATAAGACTAAAAGCTCAGGCTTGCGATTTCTGCTGTGCATAATTCCACCAGTGACGAGGACCTCATAAGCCAGATCTCTACTCCTGCACAATATGATGCGTGCACACAGCCTGCCTAGCAGCTGAATGGCTGGAAGTGCCAGCACTGCCCAGATAACATGCACCATGATTTCTGCAGCTTTTTCACAACAGGAGCCTCACATCCCTCAGCATGGAGGTTGGAGGAGTGGGCCAACCTGCCGTTATAGCTGCTGGCTGTCTTTTGGTTTATTTGTACCAGTCTCTATTTCTCCAGTATGGTTGGTTGGTTCCATTGTAGGGTTCCATTGAATGCTGTGATCAACCTCACTTTCCACCTTAGCTCTGTAATCGTATCCCGAAACTGCTACAACTGCTATGACAAAAACCAAGAGTAGGATGATGACAGACATGGCAAGTCTGCAGCAGCTTTCCTAGATTGTGGCACAGCAGCCAATCAGCCCAAAAATGAAAAGTCGGGCTCCACAGCTGTGATCACTGCAGCAGGGAAGAGAGGATATACATCTGCAAAGTAGTGGTCAGAGTCATCATAAGTGATGAAGACATGCGCTTCCACATAGTGCAAAATGCCAGCTCCCCCTGAAGATGAGGTTGAGAAACACCAGTCCTGGAGGAGGATGAGCAGCTCCGAAATCTTGGAGGAGATGATGCTGCACTGGCCCATCCGTGGTGCCGGCAGCCTACTGGCACCATGCGCACACCAAGCGAGGTGGCAGGGGCAGCCGAGCCTCCCCACTGGGAGCTGCACAGCCTGAGTGGCACTCACCATAGCCCCCAGTACCACTGCACAGCCCCAGCAGTGCCTCACTCCTCCTCAGACACATATTGAGAACTTCTTTGAATATAGTTGTACAAGGTTCAGGGATACCCTGGCCCACCTATGGATCATCTCCTTTCCCAGGTACAGACCCTCTGCCGTCAAATATGTACCACACTAATAGGTTTGCTCTCTACTTGGATAATTCATTTCTCTGTTCTGTAGTCATAAGTACCCTGAACCTTCACCAGCTATTTTTAAAATACCTATCATGGATATAATTCTCCTCTTGTCTTTGGAGTTGGTAGAGCTTCTTAGACTCACTTGTACTAAAGGGGGTCAATGACAGGGCTCTTTATTTTTTAATAAGTTAAAAAAAAATTTTTTTTTTAACGTTTATTTATCTTTGAGAGAGACAGAGCACGAGCGTGGAAGGGTCAGAGAGAGGGAGACACAGAATCCGAAGCAGGCCCCAGGCTTTGAGCTGTTAGCACAGAGCCCGACGCGGGGCTCAAACTCACGAACTGCGAGATCATGACCCGAGCCGAGGTCGGATGCTCAACCGACTGAGCCACCCAGGTGCCCCAGGGTTCTTTGTTTTTGAAATGGAAGAATCCCAGGCTTCTTCTGAGCTGTGAACTCTTGTGTTCCAGGTAGCTACATGGGAGAAGCAGATCTACACATGCTGTCGAGATGGTCTTGTGCGACGCTATCAGCTCTCTGACCTCTGACTCCTTGGAAAGAGGAGTCCCAGTTAATGAAAAAGATTGGCCCTAGTTGACAAAGAGAATGATCATTAGTCCTTCTCAAGGACCATGGACCTTTATTGTCTTGGGCACCCTTGGGAAGTCACAGAAAGTCAGCTACATTGGCCCATGGAATATGAATATCATTCCATGATAAAACCAACTGTGAACTAAGTAAGAAGCTCACATATGTTCCATATATAAACTCACCCCCAACAACACAGGGCAAGGGTATGGATGCTTACAGTTTGCTCTTAACACCATTTGTGTTAATTGTTTACTGTGACCAGAGGACTAAAGCCTGTTCTCTGAAGGAAATAAAGAGAATGTGTTTGAAGGAGTCTGAATTTGAAAAACTTGGTTAAATATTCTTTCTCCAGTAGAGAGTCATTCAGGTTGATTGAGTACCTGTCTTGGGCACTTCCTGTGGACCTGGCCATAGAGAAAGACTGCTTGTTAGCAGTAAATATCCTATAAGCAGCAATCTGGGAAAGATTCTTACACAGGTAGGGAAACTGTCTCAGTTTGGGCAGGGATTTTCTGCTACATGTGACTTTCAGTCCTAGGCAAACTGACATGGTTGATCATCCCAAATACAGGTGATAAAAGTTGAATCCTATCATTGTAAAGGCAGTGGCTGTCCAAGTGTGGTCCCTGGAACAGCTGCATCCATATCATCTGGAAATATGTTAGAAATAGAAATTCCTAAGCCCCACCTCAGCCCTAAATCAGAAATTCTGTGGGTAGAGCCAGCCAAGTGATTCTGATGCATGCTAAAGTTTGGAACGTAGAGGAAGAGATAGTGAAGGGCACTTTAGGCATAGCTGGAACACAGTGCTCTTAGGATGGTGAGGCTGGTCTTTAGGAGATGAGGCTGCAGAGGTTGACAGGACCCAGATTGAAAGGGCTTGAGTGCCAGGTAAGAAGCTTCAATTTCATTTGGTTCATGAGAAGCCCATGGAAGAGTTTTAAGCAAGGGTATAACATGGTCACCTCTTTTTATTTTTTTCCTAAATATAAAAATGGAGTCATAATGTATATATTCCATGTTTTATTTTCACTTAGAATCTCTGAGTTCTTTTTAACTTAGTACACTTAGACCTTTGTACTTTTTAACACTTTCCAGAGTATGAATACCTTATCATTTACGCTTTAGAAATTAGACACTTGAGCTGGGCAGTGTAGGCTAAGATCTGGATTTATTTAAGGGGAAAAAGCCAATTCCTGGGTGGAATAATAGTATGGCTCACAGCATGGAATCTTTATAACTTCACTATGACATGAAGGTAGTGAGAATCAGATGAATTGATTTGCCAAGAGTCATAGAGAACAGGAACTTGAACACGTTTTATCTTTAAATCCATTTTTTTCTACCTGTTGTGTATGCCTAAATTGTGAAGATAAAATACTGTTATTTGTTGAGTATAATTGGGTATCTACTCTATTTTGGGGACTATATTTATATATTTAATCCTCATAACACTCTTAAAAAGGAAATGGTATTTTTTTTTTATAGACAAGGAAACAGAGTCAAGAAATTAAGTACTGGGGCACCTGGGTGGCTCAGTCAGTTAAGTGTCCAACTTCAGCTCAGGTCATGATCTCACAGTTCTTGAGTTCAAGCCCTGCATTGGGCTCTGTGCTGACAGCTTGAAGCCTGGAGCCTGCTTTGGATTCTTTGTCTGCCTCTCTCTCTCTCTGCCCCTTCCTCACTCACATTCTGTCTCTCTCTCTCAAAAATAAACAAACATTTTAAAAAAAGAAATAAAGAAAAATTAAGTACCAAACCCTTGTTTTGGACCTTGCTTGGTCTGTCTCCAAGGCCTGTGCTCCTTCTACTATACCACATGGTCACAAGACCTCTGGGACTAGACCATTTTCATTTAAGGAGTGATTTGTGATAAGATCAGGTAGACCCAAAGGGACCTATTCCTGAGCTCAGAAACATTGGATCCAAAGAAGTTCAAAGGGAACCTCTAAGAAGTCAGATGAAGAAGACAGGATGAGGGAGGATATGGCTGAGTTCACATAGCAGGTGTGTCTGAGTTCCTGTTCCAAGATTCACGCTTTTCCACTGCCATCACATCCATAAGCCCCTTTTCATAGGTCTCCAGAGTTGATATCCTGGTTGTGATGGATGCAGTGATCCTTGATAGCTGCTCTAAAATCCAGATTCAAACAGAAACAGCAGAGGCTAGCTCTCAGGTGCCAAAAGCCTTGTCTTCTCTGAATGGAATATCCCCAGTATGCAGCAGACAAAGCTTTTTTTTTTTTTTGTTCCTTTTGGGTTGAAGAGTGCATTCTGGGTAAGGAAGGATGGACAACCCCCTTCTGCAGCTGTGATGGCCCAGGGAAGCTCCATCTTGTTTCCTGGCTTTCAGATGCCCCCTTGTGACTAATTGTGAGAAGTGCCTCTTTCTGAGATCTGGAAAGCTGTCAGTGGCATCAGCTACTGAGCGTATATTCGGTGCCAGGCACAGTCTTCACAATAGCCTTGCAAAGTAAAGGTTTCTTGTTCTTTTTTCTTTTTTAAAATTTTATTTATTTGGGGCGCCTGGGTGGCTCAGTCGGTTGAGCGTCCGACTTCAGCTCAGGTCACGATCTCGCGGTCCGTGAGTTCGAGCCCCGCGTCGGGCTCTGGGCTGATGGCTCAGAGCCTGGAGCCTGCTTCCGATTCTGTGTCTCCCTCTCTCTCTGCCCCTCCCCCGTTCATGCTTTGTCTCTCTCTGTCTCAAAAATAAACATTAAAAAAAATTTTTATTTATTTACTTTGAGAGAGAGAGAGCGTGCAATTGGGGAAGGACAGAGAGAGGGAGAGAGAGAATCCCAAGCAGGCTCTGCACTGTCCATGCAGAGCCCAGTGCTGGACTTGGTCCCACAAACCATGAAATCATGACCTGAACCGCGATGAAGAGTTGGATGCCTAACCGACTGAGCCACCCAGGTGCCCTGTAAAGGTTTCTTTTTCTTGAACACGTCTCTTTGTGGATACAATTTTTCTAATTTACTTTTTACTTTGAAGTAATTTCACACCTTCAGAAAATTTGCAAGGATATAGTAACTCTATGTTTAGCATTTTAAGACCGCCACCTGTTTTCCAAGTGGCTGCACCATTTTACGTTCTCAGCAGTGGTGTATACAGGTTCTTATTTTCTCCATGTCCTTGCCAACACTGCCAACACTTGGTTTGTCCATCTTTTTTATTATAATCAGCTGGTTAAAATGGTGTCTACCAGGTTTGTCCATGGCAAAGGTAGTATTTTGTGGAGAGCTACTTTGAGACTATAAATATCCTATTCCTCATACAACTTGCATCATTTAGTTTCAGCATTTGTTGATTTCTGTCTGAGCCAGTTATTCCTACTACAATTGCCAAAAGGTGATTTTATAATTTCATCATTCTTTTTCATTTATAATTTGCTTTCTACTATAAGGTAGAGCTTTCCCTTCTCCCCCACTTATTTAATTACTAATTCACTCATTCATCATAGATCTATTAGTGTGGACTACACATGGATTCATATTTTATTCTATGGATTATAATCCATTATTACTATGATTTCTTGTGGTGTTTAAATTGTCCCAGCTGAGCCAGTGGTAGCTCCTTCAAGCTGGATCCTATGTCCTTTTGACATGTTTCTATCTTTCTTTTAGCACTTCCATATTTTCTGATATTACAAGATATTCAAGCTTCATCTTATACTTCCCCAACCCAGTCCTGGAATCAGTCATTTGTCTAGATGGCTTCAGTTCTTTTTAGTGGAGAATGGATTTGGAAATCAAGTCTGGGCACTATATGGATATTCTTTGTTTTGGGGGTATTATTGCTTCTAGTCCCTACCAGTGGACAGTACATATATATGTCTATATTTCTACATCCAGCATTCTAGATATACACTAAAGTTCATGAGTTCACACTGATGTCTCCCAATTCCAGTCCAACTCCACTGGGATTATTCTAGTCTGCATACATACCTCCTTCCTCCAACAGTGAGAAACTTGGCTCTCATAATCCTCAATGTTTCACTTATTTGCTCAATACTTCTGTGAGTAACCAATCTGACAACTACACAAACCACCTCCCCTTTCACTCCAGCCCCTGCACACTTGGTGCTCCTTACATGGAGTCCCCTGCATTCACCTCAGCCAGTCCCAGGCTGAGCAAGGTTCTCACCCAACCCTCTGGGTTTAATTTTTAATAACATCTTTTTTTCTGGTAATAAGAGTAAAATATGGCTAATCACATGAAAAGATGCTCAACTTCAGTGGTTAAATAAATGGAGATTAAAATTCACAAGAAAGCTCAGAAATGCAAAAAATAAAAAATAATGCCATATTTTTACTTTACAAAGAGGCAACTGTGGCTAAGAAATCCGTTTAAAGGGCCGCCTGGGTGGCTCAGCTGGTTAAGTGTCCGACTTCAGCTCAGGTCATGATCTCATGGTTCATGAGTTTGAGCCCCGCATCAGGCTCTGTACTGACAGCTCAGGACCTGGAGCCTGCTTCCCATTCTGTGTCTCCCTCTCTCTCTGCCCCTCCCCTGCTCATACTTTGTTTCTCTTTCTCTCTCTCTCAAAAATAAATAAAACATGTTAAAAAAAAAAAAAAGGAATATTCTTTGTTGAAGGAATGTTGCCCCTGTGTGCCCCTCTCTGTTTAGTATTCTCTTGCTTTTATTTATTATTTTACTTACTCACTACTATGCATGTACTTGTTAATATTTAACTAGCTCACCAGAAGGAAAAAAATAGCCCTGATAGCATTTGCCAGTTTGTTCCAAGCTGTTACAACCAGCTCCAGCACAGCAATCACTACATGTATTCCTAACAACATATTTATCTTTTCATGTTTTTGAACATTATCATCATTTATGCAAATGGTATGTATTTGTGTGTGTGTGGCTTATTTGCACAAAGACTGTATAGTATTCACTGTTAATGCTGAACATTTGGGTATGCGCATCAACTTTGCAAGGGAATGTCACAGTTTTCTGATGTGGTTATTCTAATTTACACTGACAAAATAGCAGTGTCTGAGAGTTCCTTTTTGTTTTACGTACTCACCAATTCTTGATGTCAAGTTTTTATTTTATTTCAATTTTCTTTTAAATTTCTTCTTTTTTAAATTTTTTTAAATGTTTATTTAAACATTAAAACTTGTGAACCGTGAACCTTGCGATCATGACCTGAGCCAAAGTCTGATACTTAACCAACTGAGCCACCCAGGCGCCCCTCAATTTTCTTTTAAGGTACGTGTGTGTGTGTGTGTGTGTGTGTGTGTGTGTGTGTGTGTATTTTCATTTCATTTCATTTCATTTCATTTCATTTCATTTCATTTCATTTCATTTCAT